TTTTGAAAAAATGGTATTTTTATAAATATTTAAAAAAATGAAAGTGATATTTCTCAAAAAAACAAAATTTATGTGCTTATCCCGGAACAGCTAGCATTCCAATTTCCAGATTAGAGTTATTTTCCTTTTTTTTTTTGTAAAACTATTATAATATTCTTTCTTTTATGATCAAACTCGGTTATAATATTCAGGATCCGAGTAAACCAGAGACTCATCTTTTGAATGAATAAATTACTCATATATATACATATACATTATTATATGATAGTCATTTTATAATATTTATAAGTCATTTATAAATTTGATATTACTTATAATATTATTATAGGATAGTCACTTACAAATATCAAATTTATTTTTTTATAATATGTTAAGGAAAAAGTATAGATCCGCCTTGATCCGTGGTTTGAGATGAATCTACGTTTTGGACGATTGAATTTTTATTGGAAATAATTATAACTTGACTGTGAGAAGACACAAATTCAGTTTGATATCTTTTTGTAATTTTTAGACTGAAATTTGTTGGAACAAGCATCTGATTAGTGAGTAACGAATGAAGCAATTTTGAGCTTTCATTTACAAAAGTGCCAAGTGTTGGAAGGAATTTGTGATGCTGTATTCAACAGGGCTAGGTCTTAGTTTATTTGAGCATAACAAGCTTGGGTCACTAATAACTCTTTCTTGCACATTAATTAGCTTGGGTTTTGTGATGAAACTACAGGCCCTGAAGTAGAAAAACTGGCGGAGATAGCTAGGAAAAACAATGTGTACTTGGTCATGGGGGCGATAGAGAAGGACGGGTACACACTCTACTGCACAGCCCTTTTCTTCAGTTCCCAAGGTTGCTTCTTGGGCAAGCACCGTAAGCTCATGCCCACATCTATGGAACGTTGCATCTGGGGTTTCGGGGATGGATCAACCATCCCTGTTTACGACACTCCCCATGGCAAACTCGGTGCTGCTATTTGCTGGGAAAATAGGATGCCGCTCTACAGAACTGCCTTGTACGCAAAAGGTCAGTCCTCCATTTCCTCTGTTATTAAAAAAATCTGTACTCTGATAATATCATGTCAAATTTCATGAGTTTCGCATTTAGTAATTAAATAACCTTGAAGGATGGAATGACTCGTATGTTCCTTGTGTATTAGATTAAGCCCTTTCTAACTTTTATGTAAGACTCGTAACAGTTTTGATTTTGGGCAGGAGTTGAGATTTATTGTGCACCTACTGCTGATGGCTCGAGGGAATGGCAATCATCTATGCTTCATATTGCGCTCGAAGGTGGATGTTTTGTGTTGTCAGCCTGCCAGTTCTGCCAGCGTAAAGATTTCCCTCATCATCCTGATTACTTGTTTACCGACTGGGACAACAACAAAGAAGCTGATGCAATTGTTTCCCAAGGTGGTAGTGTCATTATTTCACCTTTGGGAAAGATTCTCGCCGGACCAAACTTTGAATCTGAGGGCCTCATCACAGCTGATCTTGGTATATATATGTATACTCTTCTCTGATATATTCATCTATTCTAAGGCTATAGAATATGATAAGTTTTTGACATAATCATATTGATAACGTTTTTTTGCTCATCCAGATCTTGGTGATATAGCAAGAGCCAAGTTGTACTTTGATGTGGTCGGACATTACTCGAAGCCAGAGGTTTTCAACTTGACCGTAAATGAGGACCCAAAGAAACCGGTTACATTCGTGTCGAAGATGGAGAAAGTAGAGGATGAGCCAGACAAGTAATGGAGAAAGCCAAGGTTGAGTCTAAAATAATAATCGATGTTGAGTTTCTATTAAGTTTGCTTATCTTTCTGCGCAATAATGTAAGAGACAATTGGATATGATCGATCGATGTTGTTTCATAAATCCAATTTGGTTCTCTACTCTTGTGTTTCAATACTAGATGATTTTTTTTTTAAAAACGTAAAATCCATTAAGGTGATTTTATGATGTTATTGTTTTAGAATTTCTTTACAAATAGGAAAAACAAAATGTGTTATATTCCTTTTTTTCTTATTTCTCTTATATACTTTTTTTTCGGCTTCGTTTTTCTCTGTTACATAAGACTTCTTTTTCATTCTCTTTCTTATGCTTTTTCTTTTGTCTTCTTTATACAAAACAATTTTTTTTTGTTTCTTCCTTTTCTTTTTATTCTTCTGTGCTTGCTACATGTGACCAAAATGAATTTTTTTTTTAGTTTTTTTCCAATTCTTTTTAAGAAAATAGCTAAAAATGACCTACAATTTCATTTTAAATGCAAAAATAAATCTTTTTAGCAAAAATAATTCAAAGGGTAATGAAATTATAATTACATCACTTATGACAACAAAAAAACGGAAGACAAATTAGGTTATAGATGAATTACATATTAGTAATGAAATGAAGACTAAGCATATATTGTTATGCATGTGATAACAAATAATCTCATCCACGGACACTCCGCTCTACGTCCGTCTCTAACGCCCGTTAGTCAACAACGGAAGAGCGAAGGAAGCATTACTCTTGGACTAAAGTAAATTAGAGCAAAGATGAAAGAGAAAACAGATCTAAACCAAACGCTGAGCTAAATTTCTTCATATAACAAAATAAATTAAACTGTAAAAGAGACAAAAGTATATCCTAATGAATTAAAAACAAAACCGGACTTAGCCGGAGAACAAGATCCGAGTAAACGGAAGCCTATATCTAAGCCGATAAGTACATAAACGCAAAGGAAACCAAAATATATACAAATCGGACCGACGACCATAGCTTAGGGAAGCCACAATCATCGGCCGGATCTACAACCAGATCGAAAAAGATGAACCAGACAGAGAGTTTTTTTTAGAAAGAGGTTTTAGAGAGAAAGTCCATGCGAGGTGATAGAATAATCTATTCTAACTTTACTCCTCCAATTAACCTCCATTGATGAACCTCCTTACTTATTTCTCCATCATCTCAATTCTTCGGCTTCTAACATTTCAACACAAAATTTCTCCATCCACATGCACCATCGACATAAACTCTGGAACTCAACTCACACGTTTTTTCTTTCTTTCTATAAAGCATTCTCTAACACCACCGAAAGTCTTTGTTCAACTATGACAAAGGATAAAATCTTCTTTCCACTGGATATATTTCTCACTCAATTAATTTTTATACTTACATGGTTATATACAATATTTTGAAAACCGAATTAGACACCAACTCAACATCGTCATTAGTTGGTTGATCAAACCGGTTCAACCGAATTTTTAA